CTCCTCCTCCTCCTCCTCATCTTTCTCATCCACAAAATCCTCATCCCTGTTGCATGAGACTACCCCCTTGCAGGTGTCCACGGACAGTGGTGGGGTAGTGGTAGGGGCCACCCCTAGGATTGCACGCAGCTCATCATAGAACCGGCATGTATGGGGCTCTGACTCGGAGTGACCATTTGAATCCTTTGTTTTTTGGTAGGCTTGCCTCAGCTTCTTAACTTTCACGCATTTTGTCTTTTGGAATGGAGTTTTACCTGCATGGATTCTTCTCCCCATACAGCGATCAGATCCAGTACCTCCCATTCAGGCCATGCTGGAGCTCTTTTGTGATTCTGGGACTCCATGCTCACCTGTGCTGATGAGCTCGCCACGCTGGCCAAACAGGAAATGAAATCCAAAGTTCCCGGGGCTTTTCCTGTCTACCTGGCCAGTACATCTGAGTTGAGAGTGCTGTCCAGAGTAGTCACAATGGAGCACTCAGAGATAGCTCCCGGAGGCCAATACCGTCAAATTGCATCCACATTACCCCAAATTCGACCTAGCAAGGTTGATTTTAGCGCTAAACCCCTCGCCAGGGAGGAGTACAGAAATCAATTTTAAGAGCCCTTTAAATCGACAAAACAGGCTTGGTCATGTGGACGGGTGCAGGGTTAAATCGACCTAATGCTGCTCAATTCGACCTAAACTCGTAGTTTAGACCAGGGCTCAGTTCCTTCTTTCAGAAGCTATGCTCAAGAATTCATGCAAGAGTAGGAAACAATTGGTCTGTTTCAACTCTCTCACCTCTAGAAGAACATATTAAGAAATATGGAAACAAAAGTCACTTTGTAGGAATTATTCATAGGTGGCTTAATACTTTGAATTACCCTCCCAATCTGAGTCTCAGAGAAAAATGGGAAAGAGAACTTAACTTTACTATCACAACAGAAACCTGGGAGGATATCTGGCTTAATGTGAAAGATGCTTCAAGTTCTTTATCCTTGTGATTCTTCCAGAACAAGATAATAAACAGGTATTACTGGATTCCAGAATATTAAGGCTAGATTGGCAACACACAGTGAATGATGGAAATGCAAACAGCCCCATGCCAACCTTTCACACATCCTCTATACCTGTCAAAAATGCATGTGTTCTGGAATACCATATTCAGTGCTCTCTCAAAAATGTTGTGTTGCTATTTTTCCTTCTCCAACCTTGTGTATGTTGGCGACGCTGAATGAGTTGGTATTACCAGTTAACGTTAAGAAATGGATTGCAGTAACTAATTTAGTGTGCCAAAGTTATTTTGAGAAAATCTACAATTCCTCCCTCATACACAGATTGGCTTAGTGAACTCTCTACTACCGTATTAATGGAATCAATGACCTTGTCTAATAGAAATGCTTGGAAAAAATATGAGGATGTCTGATCGCACATGAAACTCTTGCATAAATTTGCAGTTTAGTATATATTAGTCCCCAATACTCATAAGTTATGTTCTCACTTATTTATCTGTTTAGTCACTTCAACAATTGACGCCCTGCATGACCTTTATGGGTTCAGGTTTGTTTGTTAGTTTTTTTTTTTCCAGGTTTAACAAATAACAAACACTGAATTTTGTTATTTATAGGGTATTTCCATCTTATGCATGTATTTATATATTTTTTTCATTGTGTTTATATTTTATATAAAAACAATAAAAAGAAAGATTAAAAAAAAAGAAAACTGTTTCATAAGTTCAAGTGCATTGTTTAATTGGCTACTCAGTCCAGATTTGGTCAGAGGGCATAGTAGAGCAGTGCTTGTTTTGCAGAACATCTGTTGTCAAGAAATCAGATTAGGAAGACATCCTTATAGACTTGGTGTCATATTGTGTGGTCCATATTCCTACAAAACTTGACAAATCTGTGCATTTCATCAGTGTTTGAGCACAATAGCACATTTTCCAAGATGTATGCATTGCCTGCCATACCGTTCGATAAATATCTTGCCCTCGTGGTATTTTGAAATTCATGATAGCTCTCGAGGCTCTGTATTACAGAGATTAATTTGTGAAATCCCAAGAAATAAGGTAGCCACAAAAATGTCTCAGAGTGTGGAACTATGTATGCAGTGTGTCATAATATATTTAGCATATCAGACCATAGGAAAAATAGAAACATGAGGGAAAGGTACGTTGCTTGGCTCAGAAATGATTGTATCAGGGAATAATGCTGGGGGAAAAGATACGTTAGAGGGCGTATAGGGATGTGAGGGTATTTCCCTGGCTCCTTGCCATCTGCAAACAAATCATTGACTATAAAGAATCAACATGTAATGTACAGGGTGACCTTGACATTGTAAATGGGTAAGAGCAATTTATCACATGCTGTCCACCATATTAAAATGATGGAAAGTTTCACATGGTGAACTGAAATCTCTTTTAGAGTCTCTGCCTGACAATTCAGGGGAATGTGGGGAGTTTTCACAATTTCTTATGTTTATGTATCCACCATGACAGCTTATACGGTATCACAATTCCTTATATTGTGCAATAAAACATGATACCCGGACCAAATTTAAGGACTTTAAAAGCTTTTGCTTTAAACAGAGAGTCAGTCAGATTTAAAAAAAATAAACTACATTATAGGTACTTGGAGAGAATTTCACAAACAGCACTGAAATTTTCCATATTAAGCGATTCCAGCTGTTAAGTTATAGAAATTGGCACAAACCGCCAATACGGTGCATGCAGCAGAAAGGAATACACTGCTTTTCAGCTTGATAGCATGCATGCAATTAAGTACAGATGTCCCTAATGGGATTTTTTTGTTTGTTTTATTGTGAGAGCTATATTAATGTCCAGTTTATATGCTACAAATAAGTGGAATAAAGTTTCATTGTATCACTTTCTTCTTAGCAAAGGAAAACCCATACAGAGAAATGAAACCATAGCTAACTGACCACTCATATTTAAGTGAGACTAGTTATTACATTTATCAACGTTGGTGGAAACACTCAGTAAGGTGCTCAGTGTACCTGCTGGCTGGCCGTCAGTGAGCCATGCAACTGAAATAGAAACACATTCAGCTAATGTCTCCTCTACTTGAAAGACTGATTGTGGGCAGGGATTCTATTATTATGATTATTTATAATTTACGTATGGCAGCACCCTCTGTGTACTAGGCACTTTCAAAACACTCATTAATTGAGAATATCTATGTTAAAAGGTTGATTCTGAAAGGGATTGAGAGCGGCCTGCAATGCGCTAAGCTGCCTCAGCTCTCACCACTGAAGATAATGGAAGGTGTGAATGTTCAGTACATTACAGGTTGCATTCAGCATCTCACAGAATCAGGTCCCAAGTGCTGTGTATCTCTCATACACATTGACACGCTACTATTCAGACTTGTTTAAAATTCTTCAAAGCAGCTCATCACTAGAAATTTTGGAAAAGACACATGCCAGTTATGTACATTTGGGTGTGTGTTGGAGGTTACCTGCTTTTGTTATGTGATGCATTTGAACTGAGGAGTGGTGTCTCAAAACTCTTTTTTTGTCTTTTTCTTCTATAAAAGATCCTACAGCCACAAACCCATCCTAGCATAAATCAATCTATTCATGAGTACGGACATACAAAAGTTATGTTGGCTCAGGTGGTCTGAATTCCAGTCTGTATCCTGACTCACAGGTTTATAGCGCACTCTTCTGTACTATACATGCAAATCAAAGGCAGGAGATGGGTGAGAAACCCCTGCTTTATAAATATTTATTAGTGATTCATATACTTTATCCCAAGCTCACATGCATATAAGGGCAGGACAAAGTCTGAACTGTTCCATATATTCGTATTTCATAATTATTGTATGTTAACAAATAATTTTTAACTTAGAAGTAAAATTTGACACTTTAGTACCTAGTCAGTATAACTGTTATATTCTTACAAAATGAAGGGGCCATCTCTCAAGGTGTGAATTTTCCTGCAAAGCAAATTTGATTAAGACCACTTTATTTTAAATTAATTTATGCATATTACATATATGTAACAATTATAAGGGAGTTATTCATAACATATTCCTCTTGCTCATATCATCCCTTCCATGAAACAATTGATAACAAGGAAATATTTTTGCAATCAATGGGCTCGTACCAAAACTCTGGCTCTAGCACACCAGAAATAGAAATCCAGACCTCAAATCTTTAAACTCCCCTAATCTTTCTGCAACAATTTAAGCCCTACCAGAGATTCTGAATGTGTAAGGCAAACAAGCCTTCATTTTCAGCAGGGGAGCAACTTGCGTGAAGTAATAAGGGTTTGTGTAAGGATTATGATATGCCCTGGTAATGTTTAGTACATAGTACATTTCCGTTATGTTTGAAATTATGGTCAAAACAGGCTTCAAATGATGTTATGACATGACATATTTTGGCAATGGACTAGAAATGGGGGGGGGGCGCATTGTTTGATCCCATTATTACTGTAGTTTACCATTCTGTTGATGGAGGATTATTGTGAGAATTTGTCATTGGGTTGCCCAGGCAGATCTCTAAAGATAGATGCATTAACACTATGCAACTCTTGTGATTAAATTCACCTTCCTCTGTGCCTGTCCTTGAACACCATGTTCTGTAATGAAAATAAAGGCATCCAAAACAGGAATAAATTCATTTTGCTTCTATAGGAGGAAGATGTGTTGGGAGTCCTCTTGTAAATCATTGCTGGGAAAGTAGGAGGAGCATGGTGATGCTGTACTGTTTTTGAGGGCCTCATAATAGTTTAAGTATCATTTTGGTTGAAGCCAAATGCACTTAGCAATTTGTGCTGGGATTTTCAAAGGATCTTAAGGTGACTAAGCACCTGAATTCCAACGAATTTCAATGGGATTTCCCATTTGCAAGTGGGATTTATTTATTACAAAAGAATTTTCTTATTTTTTTCATAGCGGGAAACTTCATTTTGTGAAATTAAGAAGTAGCCATGTTGATTTTGTCGTACCACGGAAATTACTGAGCTGATCACTCTGTTGGTTTGTTTGTTTCAGACTTCCGGCAGTTTTTCAAAAAGCTCATCTTTCTGTTGTGACAAAGTATCACAGTAAGTATTTCCGTAATGGTTTTGCTGTATTATCGCACAGTACTGTTGTGCTGTTTTTAATTGCTCCTATGCATGGCATCTTCGGCAGGTTAAAGTCATATATAAAGACATTCCAGTTGTTGTCTATGAAAGGCATAGGCCATAACATTTTCTTATTAAGGTTGTAGAGTGATCTTTTACTGGACATATGCAAAATACCCGATAAGCTGAGTATTTTCCTACAGGTAAAACTACCACAAGTCACCTTAAGCATCGTATTATTCTCATTTATCTTTCATGCTGCTTCTTCAATACAACTTTAATTACACAGATCTAAAGGCAGATTGTTTTCTTTAAGGGTAAAATTCACCCTTTCCGGGGGGCCCAACTGGGAGTTAAGTTCTGCATAGACTTTGTCCTGGGCCTTTGCACAGGGATGTCTTTCACCAAAAGTAAAGTTGGGACTCATGAAAGGTGACAGACTGACAGCACAGAAGTTATTTATCCAGACCAGATTGCTCACAGGCTGCAGTCCAAGATAATATCCCACTCTGCTAGTGTGCCTCAATCCAATCCAGTGAAGGGACCCACCATAAGGGTAAGAGAGTTCACTTTCCATGGCCAGCAAATACTCAGCTTATTATTTGCATCACAGTAGCACTTAAAATGTGTTAGGCACTTTACAGACATAGGAAGAGCTGTCCCAAAGAGCTTATCGACTGAAATGCTGCCAAGAAGGGTGCCCTTTTGTGGTGGTAGGATTGACAGTGTGGACACCTGTTCTCTTGGGCTGAATACTGGTAGGGAGCTAGGAACTCCTGACTTCTATCCTCCTTCTTCCCCCTGACTTGCAGTGTGGCCTTGAGCAAGTCTATAGATAAAATAGAGTTAATAATATTAATCTATGTTCTTCACGAGCATGTGAAGAGGATTAATGTATTTGCAGTGTATTGAAGATGTAAATCTCTAAACAAGTCCTAAGTATTATTTAGCTGCAGCTGCTAACTAGCCATTATATGGCAACAACCCTTTTCACGATTAACCTGGGCCAAAGCAGTGAGGAGAAGGAAAGGATATTTTACATACTCTTTACTGTGGTTCTTTTTGGTCCATGTTCAAAGTAAATAAATGGCAAGAACAAAATAACGTGTGCTATAACTCCAGTGCTTTTCCTGTAGCCTGTTTGGACATGGCATTCAAAAAGGATGCCTCTAACTCTATTCATTAGAAACATGTGGATAGTTTCTATGAGTTGTTTATGACAGTGAAGAAGTACTTGTAGGCCAAACTATTGGAGAAATTAAACCTAATTCTGACTTCATTTACTCTCTTGAAGTTAATGCAGTTTCTAAATTCATATCTGTATAACTTAGGGCAGATTTAATCATGTTGTATACATGAGCGATTTTAGAGACCACTTAAAGACAGTGTTTGTGATGCCCCAAAGAAAGAGCGAGAGATTATTGCAGCCATGAGTCTCTGCATGTCTGTAACACCTGGATTTTCTCCTGTTGGGGATAGAACAAATTCAATTGTATTCATTTTTCTACCTTTCCATAGCACTGCATATATAGGCCTGGGCTTTTATAGGTGGCACAGTAATGAACTCTCTTTTGGCCAGCTGCCAGTTGCTTAAAGGCCTGAATAAATTTTGTTTTATAAGCTGTTTATGAACCGCAATTTCGATGAAAATATCAGGAACCATAAATACTGACTGATTCCCTAGTATGAGTCCAGGATGAAATTTCTGCTCATTAACTTTCTATTTTCTTGTCACACTCACCCTTCTCCCCGCTCCCCAAACTGCCACATCGGATTCTTCGCAGAAGTGCAGACTTTGATCACATTATGGAGGAGGGCTATGAACTTGACCTGACTTACATCACTGAGCGGATCATTGCTGTATCCTTCCCTGCCAGCTGTTCAGAGGAAACATATGTGCACAACCTGCAAGATGTAACCCGAATGCTCAAATCCAAACATGGAGATAATTACCTGGTAAGTGCAGATTAATCCTGTTTGGATATGCTATGTGTAATTCAGTTTTACCCTATTTGCTGTACGATGGCTGATCTGATATCCTTAATAACAGAGCCCAATATAGGCTCACTTACGCCAATGTAAGTTGGATGTAATTCCACCAAAGCCTATCTAGTTCACATTTACACCAGTGCAAGTGACAGCTGCCCAGCATTTTACATTCAGTCAAACAAGGAAACAGATGCAAGCCACCTTCTTGTTGACGGCAAGGCAGTATACTCTTTGAGCATCATGTTCATTTGCAACAGAAAAATTGTAGGGTTAGTTCTCACTGAGTAAAACTCATTCCTACAAGATCCAGATGCCTCACCATGGAATGCATTTTTCTAGCAGCTGCAACTTGGGTTCTGATGATCTCTGACCACCCTCCCCCCCGCCTTGGCTGGCTCCACTGTTGATTGTGAAACAGCACATAAAGGTTGCTCTTAGTGTGTTTTGTCTCTTTCATTGACTTAATTTAGATGCATTTTTTCCCCATTACTTATTTTCTATTAAAAAATATAAGGTCCCGGACAAACCTCTAATGGGTTCCACATGCACGATCTTTTATGATGACCAAAACTGTTATTCTCTCATGCTGTGTGGTGTTTTCTGCTTAGCACATTTAAACCCTGTGGTATCACTGTCTCTCTCTGTGTGCTTATAAATCAGGGCCAAAATCTCTGCTGTTAATTGAAGTTATTTTTAGCTGACATGTGTAAACTATTAGAATAAATCCACAACTTCAGGAGGGTAAAATTACTGCAGCAGCTAGCTTGCATTGTTATTCCATCCCAAGAACACCAGCCCTCCGCATTCATTCACTCACAACACATTTATTTATCCCAACTGCATTGTATAGCAATGATTGGACTCAGGCTGTGCTTGCAGTACTACCAATTATGAATCTTTTGTCACATCAACTTTCCTGTAAGCCAACCAGTGGTCTCTCTGACACAAAATTGTAATGCTTTGCAAAGCATTTCACCTAAGTCAGTGTTTCAAAGTCAGCCCAGATCAACTGTCATTGTCATGTGATGCTGTATTTTGGTATACGTGAAATAGGCTGGTGGTCTTGGTCCAGCTATCTAACTCTTATTAGATGTGTTCACATCACAAAAAAAACCCACTGTTACATTTATACTAATTCCATTTTGTGTTAGGAAAGGGCCATAACCTCTCCATAGCTAAGTTTGCCAACAATTACCAATTGGTTTAGGCTTCCTATAACTTTGGCTTGGGAAATATATTGGTTTGGTTGGAAAATTGCCAGACTTGCTCTGGAAATAAAGGAAAATGTATTTGCAAAGTCTGAAGAAAATTTTGCAACCCATTTTGCAGTTATAGTCCGTTATAAAATTACCACTTTTGTCTAAGGTTTCTTTGTCTCCCTCTGTTTCAAAAATGGCTTTTTTGAACCCCTTCAAATTTTCTATATCATTTAATATCCTTGAAAATTTGCATTCCAGCTATGGCACCAGTCCAGCAAAACACTTAACGTGTGAATAGTCCCAGTGAAGTCATGGAGAGCACTAACGTGCTTAAAGTTAAACACATGCTTAAGCACATTCTTGTGTCATAGAATCATCGAGTTAAAAGGGACCACAAAGGTCATATAATCTACCCCCCTGCCAAGATGCAGGATTTGTTGTGTCTAAACCATCCAAGACAGATGGTAACAGAGCCTGTATTTGTAGAAATGTAAGCAAAGTTATAAATGCTTTTTGTTGGGGGTAGTTTTGAGCCCAATCTTTCTCCCTTTGATTTCTTTATGAGTTATTGGCACCATTCTGCTGTCATTAGTGCCAATGGGAATTTTTGGCCATTAATGTCAATGGGGGCCAGGATGGAGTATTGTATGTTTGCATGAGCAAGTTGTCCTCTATTCAGTTGTTGCATATTGGAAAGAACAGGGAAGGTTCTTCTATAGTTAACAGTTACAGCCCTCTTTCTTTAGCTCAAGTAGCAGACTTGTGTCTTGGAGATCGAAGACTGGGGTTTTAGTCCCAGCTCTGCACATCTGTAATTATTATGGAGAGCTGATAGCGTCTCCCTAGCTAAGGCTGATTTTGGCCCTACTTTGTATCCATAAAATTTGTTCTAAAATGGTTGAAAAAATGAAGTACTTTTTTAAAATTAAAAGAGTTCAAAAATGGCACTTTTAAAATTTCTGTGAAGTGTCTAACTTTTTTTTGTGTCCCCCTTTGTCAGCTCAGTGAAATCACCTGATATCACAAAATTCCAAACATAAGTAGATTTTAGTAACTATCCCCCAGCAACCTCAGTGATGTTTTCAAATTCACGTACAGTGCTCTGGTAGAGTTCCATGACAATAAGTTTTTATAAACACTAATAGATTTTGACAGGCTCACGCAACAAGGATGTTTCAAAGGCAGAAATAATAAAATGTGTAAGAAATTGCCATTATTTGAAAACTAGACATGAATTGGGAATCACTGGATCTAGGGAGAAAAGAAAGAACCAATAGAAAGGGTGTCTTATATTGACAGCCTTGTCAGCAATGAATCTTCTCAGTGACCAAGGAAACAAATATTGGGCTGATGTATTGTTTGTACATAGTGCAATTGCACTGACAATTTCTTTCCACAACAAATACTTATCTATCACATCCTTAAAACACCCAAGCTCTTTAAAGCCAGAAAATGAATAGTTAAGGAATCATAAATCGTATACCTCCTACAAAATTAAAAAAAAATCATATCAAATACAAAGAAATGCAGATTTCATCATAACAAAAGAACCACAGTCCTGTCCCTAAATAAGTGCTATTTTTCATCAGTAATTTCAAAATATAAACACAACACACAATCCTTCAGAAGAAAAGAACATTATATATGTATCATTAGTGACATATTCATTAATGCACATGCATACATTATTTCATAGTATATACGCAAAGTTTTACACTTATTCTATTAAAGTGCACATTGTTATTAATAGTTTTATTATTTATGTATGTTGTAATACTCCCTAAAAAGTGCAAGGCACTGTACCAACACATAGGAACAGCATAATTCTCAAGAAAACAACTATTTTAGGTTCTTAATCACTAGTAACTGGTACATACATTGAACTAGTTTTAAACTTAACAGTTTCTCTTACCTTTATTTCAATATCAAAATATTTTCACGTAAGAAAAATATATGGCCAATATTTCCACTTACTTTAATGGGATCCAGGGCCGGCTCCAGGCACCAACGTTCCAAGCAGGTGCTTGGTGTAGCAATCTGCAAGGGGCGGCAGTCCATGTGTTTTTGCTGCCCCAAGCAGCGTGCCGAATTGCCGCCGCAGACGGTGGGGGCAGTCTGTGTGCCATTAGTGCGGCACGCACGTTTCCGTGGTGGCGGCAATTCGGCGGCAGCTTCTGTGTTCAACTGCCCGGGGCAGCAATTCAGCGGCTTCTGTCTTCCGGCCGAAGACAGAAGCTGCCGCCGAATTGCAACCGCCGCGGAAACGTGCGTGCCGCCCTAACGGCACACAGACTGGCCCCGCGCTGCTTGGGGCGGCAAAAACAGTAGAGCCGGCCCTGATGGGATCTCTTTGGGTGCTCAGTATTTTTGAAAGTTGAGGCACTTAAGTGCCTAAAAATGGACTTAGGAACCTGTCTTTAGGCACCCATTTTTTTTAAATCTTGGTCAATTCTTTAAAACCAACCAACCAACCAAAAAAACAACCCACAATGTAGGAATCAGAAGAACTTTTGTAGTATAATAAGATTGCTAAGCATAAGGCATAATACTATTTATAATCTTACATTATATATAATGACTATAATAAATTTGAAAATTTTAATTGTTACATACATTTCCTCAGCATATGTAGTTTCCCATTATACTTTCCTGAATTTACTATGGGAAATACCCCGAATACTGCAAATGCTAAACTTATCTAACTTCAGCTAATAATTTGGTTATCTTAAGTGACTGAAAAATCTGAAGGCCCTCCCCTGTCATTTAACTTTCTTATAATGTATTTTGGATACAGTGATTTACCACAAAAGAAATTCAACATCAAGATCTCATACTTTTTTCTTTTTTCTTCTTCTTGAACAGGTGTTAAACCTTTCTGAAAAAAGATATGACCTTACCAAGCTTAACCCAAAGGTATTGGTTTTGATCATAACATACCTCACTTGCTAGACTTAAATACAGCATAAATGGGCTGCCATGAGCCTTCAAACTATACAAGCTTTGATGTACACAATGAAATGACAATTTTAGGAAGAGTTTAGAAAACCAAAGACGCCTCCCCTTTAATTTTGAGTGTTGTGACTTCTTGCATGTCAGGTCTATGCTTTACAAAGTTGTTTCCATTGTTTTCTTTAGCTTTGCAAATAAGACCTTGATCCAAAGTCCATTGAAGTCAATGAAAAGATTCCCACTGATTTCTGTGGTTTTAATGTCAGGTCTACATTATATGTGTGCCCATGGAATATTTATGGCCATATAATGCTCCTTTGCTATGTAAACCTTAATGTACTGAAATTGATGAACTCACAGTTCAACATAACCTCATGTTTTGTGGATTTGCCTTCCTCTCTTCATAATTGCATCTGTGAACAATGGCAATGTAATTAGGAGAACAAAAGTTGTTGGCATTTTCTTTGTTCTGCCTCATAGCCCCCCCCCCCCCCGGCCCCCCATTTTTATCTTCATTTGTTATAACATTTTCTTTGGAGTGAGATGGTAGGTGTAAGGGGTTGAATATATGTCTGGGACTTGAGCTCATTCCCATGTTTAAGAACTTTGGCAGGTTCAACAGCCAAACTTTCAACTTTCAACAGCCACCCTTGGCCCATACCATCACAGACCTACAGTTACAGCAGCAATATTGTTTGAACCTAGCAGGGGTTCAGATTACTGCTGAGAAAACATAGTTAAGACATTTGAAGTCTGACCTTTTAACACACAGGCAGTTTTTATCACATGTTAATGAATGCGTAGGATTTAGTTGGCTTACTATTTTTGGAATTTGAACAAGATAAATACACAGATAATGATGAGAAGTTGACCAAAAGAAAACTAGTTCCTTTAAAGGCAGGAAATACAGGTTATTAATAGAGCTGGGAAGGAAACCGTTTTCCTATCCCAGGAAATTTTAAGATTTTGAAATTTTTTCCTATCTCAAATCAAGATGAAAAGTCTGATATTTTCACAAACCAACTCCCTCCTCCTCTCCCCTCCACCACCAAAAAAAAAGTTGGGATCAATCAAACCATTTTGTTTCAACAATTTCTAAAGACTTGTATTTTGACCTATTATTTTATTTTATTTTGTTTTATTTTATTTTTACTATGAATTAACATGAATTTCCAAATGAAAACTAATTTTGAACCAAAAAAACTCCAGAACTTTTGTTTAGAAAATGTTGAAGTGGGACATTTTGACAACTGTTTTATTTTTTTTCAATGGGAAATTTCACAAAGCCAACCCTTTCCTACACAGAGTTTCAGTTTTGATTAACCAAAGTACATTTTGGAAAAAAAATTCTCAGTCAGCTGTAGTGTTGAATAAGATTTGTTAATACTTGCATGGAAAGCTCATGTATGCTAATAATAATAATAATTTATCCCTCCTCCCCCTGCTGTTTTGGGAGGTCTGTAAAGATGTTTTGTTTATATGACAAAAAGGCATTTTAAATAATGAAATATCACCATGGTTCCGTGAAGCACAGATTTTTCTGTTAGAAAATAGCAGGAACCTTTACCATCACAGCACATTTTGGCATAGGATTGTATACGATAATAATGTTAAAGAGTACCTTGTAAATGGAAAATGAAGTAGTTTTGCTTGATTCCAGATTATGGATGTGGGTTGGCCTGACCTTCATGCACCTCCCCTTGATAAGATGTGCACCATCTGCAAGGCTATGGAATCATGGTTGAACAGCGACCCTCAGCATGTGGTGGTGATCCATTGCAGAGTAAGTGTGCCATGTAGTGAGTATATTTATGACGTTCAATTTTTTATACTTTATCATAACAAGAAAAGTTATAATTAACAGTTTTGCAGCCGTTTTAATATTGAAAACATAATGAGCCAGATGCTTAGCTGGTATAAAGGGGCTTAAAGCCATTAACTATGCCGAGTTAGACCAGCCAGTGCTCTGGCCTGATAAATCCAGGCTTGTATGCTTAGAAGTAATATGTAGTGAGGTGTATATATATCAAAGCTGAACACCATTGTTGAGTGTATTTAGTCCATCTCCTTGTCAAACTTTTGAGGATCCTCTTATAGTATATGACATTCATTTACTTTAGTGGACTTTGAGGGCACACAGCACCTCAGAGAATCACCATTAGTCAATTGAATCAAGGCACTAAGAGCACAAACATTAGATGTCCAAATCTCTACTTAGTTGCCTAAAGTGGGCATTTGGTCACCTAAATGCACATCTGACTTTCCATCTCTGGGATTTAGGCACCTAGTTTAGATGCCCAAGTTGAAAATTGGGTACTTTGTTGTTGAATATATCATACAGTGATTACAACGGATAACATTATTCATTCCGTTTGGACTAGAATAATATTGTATAGACATATGGATAAATTCACAAAAGGATTTAGGCACCTAACTGCCACTTTAGGTTCCTAAATCCCAGAATCAGGCCCCACTGACATTCACAAAACTTCACTTAGCTTCTGCTGAAAGGTGAACTAAACTTGCTCGGTGCCTCAATTTGTGCACACCCAGAGAAAGTTCACAGCTAAGAATCCCAGGAAGAAGGAGGCATCTGCCTACAGCCTGGATTTAGGCACGGAACTCCCTGAGGGGGCAGGGTTTAGCACACACCCCTCTTGTCAGCATTTCCCATTGGCTAATTTAGGCTGAAAACTGCCCAGCATGTTGGCTTCTGTGAATCCCATTCTGTGGCACCCATCTCTCCCAATTCATTGTACAGGGAGCCTGAGCACCTAACTCAGGCTTTGTGAATCCCATAGATTTTCTGGGCTCCTAAAAGTTAGATGTCTTCACACTCAGTGTCTCAACACTTAAATTTTGTTGTGAATTTATCCCATACTGCCATTGTAGCCAGTGGGAAATTAGGGCACTCAGGACCGCCCAGGCTCTGACAGGTCCTAACTAACTGCATAATTGCAATACTCTAATGTGCTGTTACTGTTGTGTAATGTTTTGCCTTCTCAGTGTTTGTTCACTGAGAAGAGAAATAAAGATAAAGTAAATATTCCTGAGATCAGAAGTGAGTTGGCAGGTTTGTTGATGGCAAATACATCTAGAGTCTTACTGGCTTTGCAGTGCTGGTATTTGTTGACAGTAAATTAATCAGATATGGGACCTGATCTTGCTTCAATTGAAATCACTGGAAAACTCCCACTGATATTTCCTCCCAGTTCTGCAGTTGATAGCATATGGGCAAACTTTGTGCCTATGTGGAGTCCCATTGATTTCCTGTCATTTGCAGGATTGGAGCCTTAAATGGGGCCTGTAACAGGATGGGCTGCTCCAGTAAATGAAGCAGGTCTAGCTCCCCTGTGCCAGAACAAGTGCTCCCATTTGGCCAAGAAAGAGGGCGGGGCAGTACCTGGGGCCTATGAAGGACCAGAATCTGAGAGCATGAGATGTGATGAGTTGAGGCTGCCAGGGAGGCAGAGATTGGCAGGAGATGAGAGCTGCCAGAGCCTGAAGATGCTTCCTAGGGGAAGGCTAAAGGCAGGAGAGCAAGAGTGGTTTAACAGCTGTCCGCTCCAAGCCAGTGAGCCAGGGCTGGAGGACTGAAGGCAGCGACAGCAACAGCGGCAGAGGAGAATTGCCTGCTGGCTAGAACAGCAATTGGGCTAGGGAATAGAGTGATGCTCCCCTGGTGAGGGTGATCTCTCAGCAAAGAGGCTGTGGAGGTTCCTGCTGTGATGATTGGGGTTAAACTCCAGCTCAGAGGGCTGGGGTGGCTGTCCTGGCAGAGGATCTGAAGAGGACTGATGAGGAGCCTAGGTGTGGTATGGAGACAATCATGTCATGAGATTTTAAGGACTATATGCACTGGGGTAATAAATGGACTGTTTTGAGACTTATGTTTTGGATTATTTGCACAATGTTTTTGTAGTAAACTAGCCCCAAAGAAGGATATTATTGAGGCAAGAGAGTCTTATGGGGAGTCCTTGGGTTACCTGAAAGGGAAACTGAGGCAGGCACATGCCGTGCTGCAGCCTCCTGCAGAAGGGTGCTCCAGGCAGGGCTGTCTGATGACAGCACCATGATGAGGAAGAGACAAAGGAAATGATATCTTCACTACGCTGGACTAATTTTTACATATATACTTTTCTGAACACAACTACACCAGAAGTAAAAAACAAAATGTCCCAATGAGTATTTGTTATAAATCCCTCTAAAATAACTGTTGATGAATTTCTTCCCTGGGATCTTAAAAGCTTCCCACCACCATCCTTCCTGGATATAGCCAAAATGTGTTGGCTGAATAATCTGGAAGCATGTTAAAACTAGCCAGAATGACTGATCAGCAATTTGTACTGTACATATGTCATATAAACTATTTAATAAGATTTCAAAACATTATGAAAATACTCCATGAAGACTAAGCGGTAGTTATTATAAATCACAGGTGTCAGAAAAAAATTGTCAGAATTCATAGTTTATAGCACATCATGCCAGAAATTTCAAAGTTGTCTAGGCTTGTCTTGGATGAGCCCAAAACAAAAAGTGATAGAATGTTATTGCTGCTGTTCATAGTTTTCTTTATTTTAATTTATAGCTTTGTCTTGGTATACACACAAAAATACCATGTATAACAAATACATTCTATGTAAGAGGTAGTAAAAAAGAAAGGGAAATAAAACAACTGATTCGTGGGCTTTAGTTCAGGAAGCTTTTTTTAGGGTAAAACTGGAAAAAAATGAATCCACTAATTTTGATTTCAAATTAAATATAAAAAATCCTGAATAAAAAAAAAAAAAAAAAAGAAGTCCTGCATGGCTGGCCCATGGCTTATCTGGGCTCTTTGCTCTTGACATGCTACTGGTCAATCAGGAGTTGAGTGGGACTTTTAAAGAGCACCAGAGCAGTTTGGGTACCAATGCTTACTGAGTTTCAGTAGGAGTGGGATACCCAACACCCAAGTCTCACTCGGTATTTTCAATGTGGTAAGTCAACCAGCTTGCAACTAAAAGGTCTTTAAAAGCCACTGACCATCATTCTCCTCCACCACTGCAACAAAGGACAGACCAGAGCTCCTGTAGTCACCAGAACTGCCAAAGTAATATGCAAATATTGTTGTTTGCAACTTAGCGTAGGACCTGAGTGAAGCAGCATTCCATCATGTGCACAATGGATGGAACTGATGTCTTTTTCTTTCAGCAAAGTCCCACATATGGTGCTATGTAAATACTAAATAATAGAAACTATGGTTTCTTTCTTTTCCTACAGGGTGGAAAAGGAAGGATAGGAGTAGTGATATCATCATATATGCACTTCACCAATGTTTCTGCCAGGTAAGAGACGAACAACGCAAATGAATTACTGTGTTTATATATCTTTAAAGGCTGGGGGAAAACCCTAAAAGTTTCCCCTTCATTTCAGTAACCAATGGTTGCCCGATTGTCACCCATGCCAGTTTCAATCAGATGGTGCTGAAGTGTCTCAAAATTATTCATGGTGGATGAGAATCTGTTACAAGCCTCCCTTTTATAAATTCTAAAAAAATGAATGGCATTTCTTTGGACTAGGACCAGATTCTTCCACTTTTACTCATTGAAGTAGTACCTTACTCCATGAGTAATCCCCATTTGAATCTGCCTATCCATATTATGGACTTACATGGCTACCATCACTGTAATATTTGAGCATCTCACAGTCTTTAATGGATTTATCATCGCATCAGCTCTGTGAGGTAGGGAAGTGCTATTATCCCTATTTTACAGATAGGAGACTGAGGCACAGAGAGACTAAGTGACTTTCCTGGGGTCACACAGAATGTTTGTGGCAAAGCAGGAATTGAACCCAAGATTCCCACAGGCCCCACTAGCATTCTAACCACTGGACTATTTTTCCTCTTACTGGAGTTACTTCTGGAATATAGGTGCTACTCACTATGAATAAAGCTATCAGAACCTGGACCTAATATTCACACCAGAGCAGGGATCCCCAAACTCTTCCAAAGTGCAGAGCACATCTTAATAAAGAGGTTGTCTCAAGAACCCCATCTCGTCACCTCTCATTAAGAAGGAACATGCATCTACCAGAGCAAAGGACTGGGAGTCAGGAATCCTGGGTTCTGTTCCTGGTTCTGCCACTGATTTGCAGTGTGAGCTTGATATTTGTGCATTTCTGGTTGTCTGTAAAAAAAAAATGAAATTTGGTACATACTATCTGAAGAATAGAACACACATAATTTTCTACTTCTGCCTTTCAATCAAAATTGGCCAGATTCTTGTCTTTAAATTTGTTAAAGTAATTCACAGAGACCATAACTCGAGCAGGATCTCAGTGACGCTATTTTGGATTTAAATCAGTCTGGCAAAGATTAGAATCTAGCCCTGGCACTGCAAATTATCTGTTCAATTTGTGGAAAATGGGTGAAATCCTGACTCCATTGAAGTCAATGGAAAAACTCGCATTGGCTCCATTGGAGCCATGATTTCACCTAATATATTTCCCATTAACCTGGTCCTCAGATAAATAACCCAGTATGATTAGGAAATGCCACTAATTACGTTGTGTACAATGGTATACTTTAGAAAATGAAGTAATACAGTTGTTTCTGGAGTAACTAATCTTCAGGACAAGGATTACCAACACTTCACCTACCTTAATCCTGTGGGACAAAAGAGTTGTCATGAGGATACTGCAGTGCTGTGTTATGATATCTGTGTTGTGATATTACACCAAATTATTATGGCATCTCCTCAAGAAACCACAAAGTAGTGTCCTGACACAACAACGTGACATCTTGATGCAATGGTGTGATGTCCTGGCATGACAGTTGATGTTGCATTCTCCCCGAAGTAAATTCAGGATTCTTCCAACTCGGTTGCAGGATCTGAGACTGGAAACTTTCCTATGAATTTCAGGATACATGGCAACTCCCATCCAAATCTTGCTTCTTGTATTTAAATTTAATTGTGGGGGGGAAGAGCTCTAGGAAGTTCCCAGTCATCTCCAGGTTGTCAATATTGTACATATGTCAACAGGTCCAAGCTATGTGAGAAATCCTTAGCACTGGTGACAAATGGCATATTCGGGGAAATGTTTTTTGGGGGCTTCCTCAATTTTTTTTATTTTGTTCTGATTTTACTCATTAAACAAATATGCTAGTTTCTTATTGCTCTACTCACTGGGTCTCTTTACTGCTATAAAATAGTAATTTGATGCTGTTGATATTGGGGGTGACAATTTAGCATTCTTTACTCTTTAAATGGTGTTTCAGGAAACGAATTAGAGCAGCGGTTCTCAACGGGGGGGCCGTGGGGCTCGGCGACTAAAACCCAGAGCCTGAGCCCCAGCACCTCCCATGGGGCTTGAAGCCAGGACCTGTGGTGTTGAAGCCCCGAGCCCTGGTGCTCCCCCCGGGGCAGAAGCACTGACCCCATGGGCAGAGTTCGGAGGCACGGGGGTGTTGTCCCCCCTCCCCACTCGAAACTACACTGCAAGAGCATGGCAATTCCACACACACCCCTTCCACCGCCTTCTCTCCCTGCCCCCTGGCCAGGTCAGAGGCGGGAAGCCAGAGCCGGGCAGTACAGGACAGCTGCTGCTCTGGCTGGTGCCATGGAGCAAGCAGTAGCGGCGTTCCCTCATCTCCTGCTGGTGCAGGGGGTTGAAGCTGCTTCTCAGCTCCCAGCCCCCTTTGCTCCCACAGCTGGTAAGAGCCTCCTGGACGGGAGCCTCTGCCCCATGGCTGGCAGAACCCTCGGGGAACAGGGACCGCAGGGGAGCCCTCCTGGCACACAGCCCCTAGCTACCTCTGTCCCTGCACCCTGAGCTACCCTTCTCCCTGCACTGAGCTATCCCCTCCCTGCATCCTGAGCTACCCCTTGCCCGCCCACAGCCTCTAGCTACCCCTCCCTGCACCCTGAGCTGCCCCCCTGCCTGCACACAGCCCCTAGCTACCCACTCCCTGCACCTTGAGCTGTTTTCAAATGTTGTGAGCTGAGTCTCCCAGCTTTGAGTTATAATTTTTGGTTGCACACACACACACACACACACGCACACATACACACAAACCAGACGGGCGGGTGGCCTGCTGAGGTGAGTTGGGGGGTGGAGGTGGCACTCCCTTCATGGACCCCACCATGAGGAGCTGGCTCAAGCCCTGCTGGCCCCTGCCCACCCAAAATAGAAGTCAAATTACATCTATGACCGAGCCCCCTCACCACCACCACCACCAGCCCGGCCCAGAGCCCAGAATATGCCTCAGCTAGGGGAGGAAACATTATCCCTAATTTTCCTGAAGTGTTTGTCTAAGTGAAAACAAAAAAAGTTCTGTGCCAACACTTGTATGGTTGCCATGCCTTTGTTGTCTGGGTCATGAATGCCCAGTTTTCTAATTCAAGAAAGATTACGTGCAGCCATATTTAACTGGGGTAAACCATGCTCTCTCTAATAGATGTTAAGCTTTGTTCTTCCAGATAAGGATAAATAATCCTTTGCAAAATGAGAGTTTGATGCTCAGATCCCTGGTGGCATGACTAGTGAGGATGTATAATGCAAAACACACTGAACATCTGTCTTGCCAATTAAGATGAATTTGAAATGTGAAGAACAATTGAATGTGTATTTATGTATCACTTTAAATAAGTGTCACATGGGGGAGAACACAACAACTAGTCATTTTTTTAAAATGATCATGTATGTGATTCAGCAGTAGATAGCCATGGAAGGAATAGATTTCTTCCACAAGCCTCTAAATCACTTAATCCGTGTTGCGCCATCAGTTTTTAAGCAGAACTCCCTAAGGAAAGGAATAGAAATTCTACATAAAACTTGATGGAACAATAGGTACAGCCTTTAACAAAGAATAAAAAGAGAGTTCAGTGTTAATCAGGTTGTCTTATAGTAAGCCATAAAATTTGGCCTTGTTAACACTGATTTTCCACTTGTAAGGTAACTCCCTTCTCTTCATGTGTCATTATATTTATGCCTGCATCTGTAATTTTCACTCCATGCATCTGAAGAAGTGGGGTTTTTACCCACCAAAGCTTATGCCCAAATACATCTGTTAGTCTTTAAGGTGCCACCAGACTCCTCATTGTTTTTATGCCATAAAATGGTGATTTGTGTGTGTGTGTGTGTGTGTGTGTATGCCCACTAATATAATGTAATTTAATACCTCTTACCCCAAAGCGTTTGACACTATGCACATAGAGCAGCAATGAAATGCAATCACCTCCTTGGTGGAGGGCAACAAATCAATTAGTACCCAGCGTCAGGGAGTAGGGAAGGAGGTAAAAATTTTGTGCAGTCCTTTTCTGGAAAGTGCCATGGGATCTTTAATATCAATGAAGAGAAGACAGGACCTGATCCAACATCCATTGAAGGCAATTGGGGGTTTCCTTAGTTTTTAAAGTCTTCTGTGAAGATTCGACATGGCTAAGCCAACTCTGATGGGATTTTAACTTGTGGTTCCGTGGGGTCTAGTTATTTCAGACCTTATACACGGATGTTAATTAGCATCAGTTACCAGATCCATTTACTCTCATGATGATAATGTATTTGTCCCATATACAGCAAAAGGAGCACAACTTGATACTTGGGAACAAATAATTAGGAACGGTCTCCCTCATTTGGGGGCTGGGATCGTCATGGTTTTCTGTCTGATACTTGAGGACCCCATTTTTTCTGTGCTCTTCTGCCTTCTCTTCCCATATGCCGAATATCCACATTAGAGCCACTCTCATCTTATACAAAAATAAAACCAAACTTCTTTCACAGCGTGCCATTGTTGCTCCATAATCATCTCCAGGGATTCATGGTTGACTGGCACAAAGCACTTCTTTCCCAAGGCCTGATTGTTCTGCTTCTGTAGCACACCCTCTCCTGGTAAACCAGATAGCAAGAAACCAGGACTGAGTAAATCCTTAGAGTAATTTCATGTCTGTTAGTTCAGTCAGAACTCTGATGCTTTTTTTTTACTCTCTTCAGTATTAGCTGTTGTAGGTTTTGTGACATAATATAAAAGAGGGAATACAGGTACCCTCCTATGCAGCTCACAGAGAAAGCTGTATTGATGGGGCTAAAAGCAAATTGTTGTTCATTGTGCATCCTGGGCGTGGCTAAATCTATTGCATTGCAAATGTTGCATATTCGTGTAAGAAATGCAAAATCCTGATAATTAAACATGAGAAGTAGGTGCTTTGTCTCAGGGAGGAAAGTGCCTTTGGAGTGGAATTAAAAGGTGGCAGTGGAAAAACTATCCCAACCTGACCTGTGAGCAGGTGGGTTGGCAATCACTGAAGGCATTTTGTAGTAGTTTGGCACATTTCAAGCTGTAAACCGCTGCATTTCCAAGATAATCCTGTGATGAAGTAGGAATTTTTGGCAATGACTTTTATGATTCTTATGTGTGCCTCAGATTTCCCTATATGTTGCATTATTATCCTGTGGGTGAAAAATGAGTGTTTGCTCTCAGGGCAGGCTAAGAGATGTAGGTATGAATGTCGCCTAGCTGTCTGAGCTTGAAGGAGCCATTGGAAAAGGACTGGCTGAGGCTGACCCCATATCAGTGGAGAATCCAAAAAAACAATGGCAAATCCAGTCACCAGCATATTGACTCCTAGCAACCAATGGCCCAGAGGGAGATGGATTTCTCCATCTCTCAGCAGGGAAGCTCAGCACAATTCCCCAGAACCAAGGACTGGAGAGGTGGGAGGATAAGAGTTGGCTGCTGGAAGAAGTCGGGGATCTCACCTGGAATCTGAGGAAGGAGGTCAGACCAAAAGACAGACAGAGCTTGAACAATGGGGTTCACTACAGCTTGGCTGGGCTCTGGGCTATCCAGAATGGACTTGGGGCTATGCTTTAACCTTCAGTTCTCTATGCTAAACTAAGGACTTCCTATATTGTGCTGTGGTTGACTAATAAACCCTACTGTTTTGACAACACTGCTTGTTTGACTGCAAATGCTTGGTGAGGTGCATTAATCTCTGAGGAGCATACAAGTCTCTATCAGGAGTCTATCCCAGGTGTGAAGTAGGAGAGCGGGATCCCCCGAGGTTCAGTCTAAGGAGGTGATGAGTCCACATGGCTGACCCTGGAGGAAGAATGAGACTCCTTTTGGGTCTGGCACATTGAAGGGGTTTCTCCAAGAGACTGTTCCAAAGGTGGGGCATAGCACTGATCCTGTGGAACCACGACCATCCCCAAATGGAATAACATGGTATCTACTTCTTTGTTTTGATAGCGCTGATCAGGCTCTAGACAGATTTGCTATGAAGAAATTCTTCGATGATAAAGTTTCAACTTTAATGCAGCCATCCCAAAAAAGGTATTTAACTTGTATCTAATTTATATTACTAAATACGCAAATGCCATAGTTTCTCCTCACTATCCAGTGGAGGACATTTCCCTGAGGTTCTCCCACTTCAACACTCTCTCTCTCTCTCTCTCTCTCTCTGTTTGGATGTATTTATATACACATAGATAATATTTTGGTATGGTACAAAGGTTTCATCTATATGTTTGTACTGCATTATGTCTAGGCAACAAAGCAGTCCCAATACACTTTAAAACCGCCGTAAAAGAAATGTAAACTAGTTTTTCTGTCTCATATGACATTTTAGTGAGTACATGATGGTGTGGTGTGATATAAAGGTTTTATTGACATTGTTTGGGATGGCCATCTGAGTCATGACAATAAAATCTTTATATCACACTACACTATTATATACGCTGTCTATTCTATAAGTGAGGGTGAGACATTACTTAGAGCAGATAGTTGATGTTTTGGGATGTGAAATGGTCTTGAGGTATGTGTGTGGACATCTGTGCAATTTAGGATTAAACTAGTGGATGTTTCAGTACCAGAAAAGAAGGGAGCAGCTGGAAAATGCCTACTAGGTAATTGTTATACTCTCATGCACCAATCTTCATTTGGATGTGTAAAATATCTACACAGGGACTTGATTTGGTATCGCTGATTACCCTTCCCTTTCATCAACAGATATGTAACAATTTTAGCACTTTGTTAAAGAAAAAAAGGCTTCCTCAGTAATTAAAAAGAACAAAGTCATATAGTAATAATGAAGGTCAGGAAATTAGCTCTGTTTCTGATTGGGAAAGGCTTTCCCAGTGCCTTGATGGACCTATCCAGTGACCTACACAGCTGTTGTTGACATGAAAAATAACAGTCCCATGAGTCTTTAAATAAACTTACAAAAAAAAAATTTAGCCTGAGGAGCTTGTTATCCATTCGGCTCCATGTCTGCAAATAAACCTTGCATTATTAAAATGTGACACTTGTAAATGGCACCTGCAGGACACAGAGGCATGCACCGTGGGAGCAGAAGGAATGAGACAGTCTCAATGCTCCCAACAGGATGCCTTCTGCAGTATAAACAGCTCTGACTTGTAAGTCTCTCCCTTCTGCAAATAAGTTTCCATGAGAACCAACAGGCCTCACAACAGAATCTGTGACCTGTGCCTCATGGCAGTTGTCACAGCCATGCTGACAGGAAGTTTCAGTAGCTGCTGGCTTGCACGTACAGTGTGCAAGCCCTAAAGCCAAAATAAAATACCTGTATGATGCAGGGTTTGGTCTGACATGCTCTTCTGGAATATTTGTTTAGTTTCTCCAAGGGCCTCTGCGAGGCACTAATTCACCTCCTGAGGGGTGGAATTAGCTTCTTTGTTTTTTACTACTGATTTGTACAACATTGGAGTACTCAAAAAGAACAGGAGTACTTGTGGCACCTTAGAGACTAACACATTTATTTGAGCATAAGCTTTCGTGGGCTCAAATAAATGTGTTAGTCTCAAAGTGGGCTGCAGCTTAAGGTGTTCTTTTTGTGGATACAGACTAACATGACTGCTACTCTGAAACCTGTCAGATTGCAGTACTCAGTCTGCCTCTTGCCCACAGAACATACAAATGTAGGATATGCCATAATCTAAATCTGGCCTCTTGTGCCTCCAGCAATGGCCAATGCTTGTTATTGCAGAGGAAGGTGAAACAACTCTATAATGCCCCTGGCTAATTTTACAATCCTACTTGATCCCAGCTGATCCTCTAAAGTATGCAATTAAATAACCCCATTTTAGCTTGCTTACCTACTAATGCTATTACTGGACATTCAGGTGTCCAGATCCTTACTGACATTGAATTGATTATGAATATATAATCTAGGTGAATCTTAAAATATGAAAATACACATTCACTTTCTACCTGCCACATGGCTCAAAAATCTGAGAAATCTCACTTTGGGTTCCAGTCCTGCAGGACTTGGCAAAATTCTCAGTGGCTTCAACTGAAGTTTTGCCTGAATAGGAACTGCAGATTTGAGCCCTCTATATGTGAAAGTTGAATTGTGTGTGTGTGTTTTAAACTTCATTGTTTAATCTCCTCAAAAATATCAAGTAAACAGCTGAATAATCAGCTATAAACGCAGTAATGAATGCATTGGCTGGAGGAACAGGACTTAAATTAGAGAAGGGGATAAACTTTTGAGGTCATTAAGGAGACAACAGGTATGTCTATACTCCAGTCGCAGGTGTGATTCCAGCTCAGGGTAGGCACGGCTGTGTTACCTTTAATCTAGCTAGTGCGGCTAAAATGGCAGTGAAGACACAGTGGTTTGGGCTTCGGCATAGGTTGTACAGGCCATAGGTGGGCTAGCTAGATTAAAACTAGCATGGTTATGCCTACCCAGGCTGCAATCACACCTGCAGTTACAGTGTAGACATACCCATGGTGGGAGAAAGAAAAAGGGTTAAAATTTGTGCCATCAGTGCAGTAACGTCTTACTCCAGTTCTTGCAGCCGGGCAGATATAATAACCTGTACTCATGCTGCTGACTGAACAAATACTGCCAGAGAGCCTGGAGGAGGAAAACAAGAAGCAACATTGACCTTTTCTAATGTCATGTGTTAAAGCAACCCTTGATACTTGTATTTAAAACAAATCTAATAAAGAAATAACCCCAACAACTCCAGACTCAGGGCAGTAGAACTATCACTGTCAGGGAGAATCACTACAACTGTGATATTGCCCATCTTGCTGTAGCCTAATTTGCAGCATGGGGTGTGTTTAGTTGTTTTTTTAATGATACATATTTTATTCTTAAGAGCAATATTAAACTAATTTAATACCACTTGGGGCGAAAAGGGGAGTTTGAAATCAGGAAAACCAGTAGCAAAATGAAAAGGAAAGAATGTATCTTGCCCCTCCTTGTCTTTTGTACAAGAGGGACTGTTATTTTTTAATCTTATTCCACTTATGGGATGTGTGTATTTTATTTCTTACAAATGGGGCTGACCTTGGGGAAATTAGCTGGGTATTTAAAAGAAGGGAAGGGATATAGGGTACAGAATGAGAAACTTATGCGGGGAAGAAATGCAGTTATAAAGTAAAACTTCCCTAAGTGGGAAAGGCAATTACAGAGCAAATAACCCTAAGTCTCATTGACCTTTGCTTTCCTGTGAGGAGGTTCATATCACCACAAGGATAAATTATTCTTGAACAATTCCTCCAATGTACTAAGCACAAACTGGCTTTACTTGAATGTCAGATGTTAGTCCTGCCAGCCATTTGTGTGTTAGTGCAAGAGAGATAGGGAAACTATCTTAGGGTGTTTAGGGGGAATGAAACAACTTGTGGTATGTGTGCACACTTACAAAAAGGGCACCTGCTCTAGTGGCTTTATTGATGTGCAGACCAGTTCACTAGGAATTGAGCTGGACTCATTTCACTCTGACTACCAGAATGCTGTTGACTGGTAGCAACTTGAGTCACGGTTAATATGTACTGGGCTGAAAGTGACCTTTACCAGCCTCCTGAGTCACCCATGCATCTCCTTTTCAAAGCTGTTAGGTGGAATATTCTCTAATAAATATTTATAGTACAAATATTACCCATTAGAGCAACATCCTTGCCAATAATTGAAAAACTTGATAAACAGAAGCTTCTCTTCATATTTTGATGCAGATTATTCTATTCCACTTTAACTCCAAGGCTAAATGAAGCAATTATATGACCCCTTGTATTAGTTATATTCATAATGACGAGAAGATCATTTTCCCTGGGATTATGACAACAATCTTTTCCTTCTTGGCTAATTGTGTTGCATTATCTTTTCAGATATGTGCACTTCTTAAGTGGCCTTCTGTCTGGATCTGTGAAAATGAACACGACCCCACTCTTCCTGCACTTTGTCATCCTTCATGGCATCCCAAGCTTTGATGCTGGAGGAGGTACATTATTTCACTTGCCATTTTCAAGCCTTGCTCTTTTTGTTTCACTGCACTCTTATCAGGATGGGCAAACCAGTACAGTTCAGATAGGAACTCCCTAAAACTTCACCTCAATCTCAAAACAATCTCAGACCTTTCTTGAGGTTTGGGGAATTTCCATTAAGGAACAACTCCTTGCCTCAACTATTCCTGCAAACCAAGGGATGAGGAAAACCCAACAGAACATCTCGGGAAAGAGCGAGAGTGGAGGAGCACAACTATCCAGTTCTGCTAAATGCAGAGATAGCACCTCCTTCTCATCTTCCTTCCAGTGGGCTGAGGGACTTCCTGTGCAAGTCCTGCCGTCATCTCCCTGACATCCGAACAGCTATGTTCCCCTTACGTGGGAAAGTCTCAGTCCTGCTATCCCACTCCAGTGTAAGGGTTACCTCTGCCTATTTGAGTGGTCTTCTTCCTCATACTCCACTATTGGGCCTCCTGAGGAGGTGGCCTCAAAGCCTGTTTCTACAGTCCACTCGGATCTGCAGTTTTGGGCGGTGACATGGGCCAGCAAGAGCATTTTGCCGAATCTGCTGTTCTAAATCTTAAAAAGCACTCTGGAGCTTACACTCCAGCAAGGAGTCTCAGGAGAAAAAGTAGCAGGCCACTGACGTTTCTACATAGAATCATAGAACTGGAAGGGATTGTAACGATGCTGGTTCTGGCGGGACCCAACTGAGAGTGCCAATTCAGGACAAATTGCTTAAAACAGGGCAGTTACAGCCCAAGGCTGGGGTTTTTCCACCTCAAAGGCAAACCAAACCAGCCAGACAGAGAGGACTTTGGTCTCACCCCACTGGCTAACCACAAGTCACACAAGCAATTCCCTTAGACACTCCAGTTTCCCAGTATCCCAACCAGTGCCACTCATCATGGGGACAAATGGTTATGAAAACCAATACCCCAGTAAAAGAAAAAAGGTTCTCTCGATCCCAAAGAATCAAGCCCCAGACCCAGGCCAATATACAAATCAGATCTTACCCACAAACCATGCTGTTGCCAATCCTTTAGAATCTAAAATCTAAAGGTTTATTCATAAAAGGAAAAAGATATGAATGAGAGCTAGAATTGGTTAAATGGAATCAATTACATACAGTAATGGCAAAGTTCTTGGTTCAGGCTTGTAGCAGTGATGAAATAAACTGCAGGTTTAAATCAAGTCTCTGGAGTACATCCACAGCTGGGATGGGTCATTCAGTCCTTTGTTCAGAGCTTCAGTTTGTAGCAAAGTCCCTCCAGAGGTAAGAAGCAGGATTGAAGACAAAATGGAGGGGTCTCCCACGGGTTTAAATAGACTTTCTCTTGTGGGTGGAGACCCCCCTCCTCACTCCTATGCAAAGTCCAGCTCCACGATGGAGTTCTGGAGTCACCTGGGCAAGTCATATGTCCATGCATGTCTCAGTCTTTACAGGCAGAAGCCATTGTCCACATGGTATCTTGTATGTCTCCAGGAAGACTTCTTATGTGGATTGGAGCATTCCAAGATGCATTGTTCCCCAAATGCTTCCTGATCGGGTACTTAACCTTGCGAATTCCTTCCTAAAGAAGCTGACCAAATGCCTCACAAAGCTTACTTAGAAATCAAGCAAGTATACATAATTTTGAACAAACGAATTGTGCCTGCATACAACTAGGATGAACATAACCAGTAGATCATAACCTTTACATAGATATGTTACATGGCATATGTAGCAAAACCCTGTTCCAGTTATATCATACATACATTTGCAAGCACCCCCCCCCCATAAAGCCTTATGGGGTACACTGTCACAGGGACCTTGAGAGGTCATCAAGTCCAGTCCCCTGCACTTGTTGCAGGACTAATTATCTAGACCATTCCTGACAGATGTTTGTCTAACCTGCTCTTAAAAATCTTCAATGATGGAGATTCCACAACCTCCCTAGGCAATTTATTCCAGTGCTGACAGTTAGGAGGTTTTTCCTAATGTCCAACCTAAACTTCCCTTGCTGCAATTTAAGCCCATTGCTTCTTGTCCTATCGTCAGAGGTTAAGGAGAACAATTTTTCTTCCTCCTACTTGTAACAACCTTTTACATATTTGAAAACTGTTATCATGTCCCCTCTCCGGCTTCTCTTTTCCAGACTAAACAAACCCAATTTTTTCAATCTTCCCTCATAGGTCATGTTTTCTAGACCTTTAATCATTTACACTAGATACACAAGATACACTAGTGGGTGATACTTAAATCTGCACTTAAATAAGTGCAGCTTCATTGACTTCATTGCCCTTTAGACTGGCCACAATGTTTTTTTTATTATGAGTTTTGCAAAAATATGATTAAAAAGGAAATGATTGTTAATTTCAGTCAAATTTTCAGGAACTTTTTCAGTGGAAAAAAATCCAAAACAAAATGTTTCATTTAAAATTATTTTTGTTTTCTCTTTTGGTCGTTCCCCACTTTCTCCTATTTATTTATTTATTTTCCCCAGTAGGAGATAGGGGATTAGAATTTAAAAAGTGAGCAAAGTGCTACTTTCTCTCATTTTCAAAAGTCTTTCTCCCCACTTTCTCCTCTCCTGGCTATTTTTCCATTAGAAAAAAAGGTGGAAAGATTGAAAAAACTAGAAACTTTTTTCAGAATGGAAGGGTTTTGGGGTTTTTTTGTGTTCCATTTTGAAAAAATGGCCTTGAAAACTTTCAACAGAATTAAAATGTCACATCTGTCAAAAATCCATTTTTCCTTAATTATTTTTTCAACAAAATGTCAACCAGTTCTAGCCTTTGCATCCACCTATACCAGGTCTGAATGTCATCCAGTGTGTCTGTTGTATGTTCAGGAAACTCACTAAATGTGTATTTTAAAAAAATTACAGAGAAATAACAAAGAATACATGACTCTCTTGGCTATTTTTGCAGTTTGTCGGCCCTTTCTAAAGATCTACCAGGCTATGCAGCCAGTTCATACATCAGGAATATAGTAAGTCTTAGTTATTTTCATCTCTACGTGAATGTAGTTCTCTATCCTTTCAGTTACAAAAGTTAAACCATCTTTTTTTCATGAGTTTATTGTTTAAAAGCACAACTATTATTTAAATATCTCCCCTTTTCTTCTCTTTCCTGTTAAGTAGTGTAGGGCCAGAAAATCAAAGCAGAATCTGCATTGCTATTGAGCCAGCCCAGCTATTGAAGGGAGATATTATGGTAAGTAATTAATTCTGATTCCACATAATTAATTGTGCCTTCTAGATGGTGATTTAAAAATAAAGACAATCATACATTTTGCACTCTTGTAGAAAGAGAATGAGAAAATTGTCACTGAGGCACGAGTGGGTAGGTAATTAAATTAGTTTTACTCAGCCTCTTGGGTTTTTATGCTAAGCAAGAGTTTGCTTCAAGCAAGAATCATTTTATGGAGACAAAACAAACCATTACTACCAACTTCCCCCTGTCATTATAGTGATACTCAGTATGGTTATGTTTATATTAAGTATTTCCATTATAAAACACATTCTGGAAAGTTTTTTCACTCAGCCTTAACATTTTCTTTGGCTTGTAATTTGGCAGCAAGGAACTACTTCTTTCCTTTTACTTTCAAAGAGTGGTTTGATCAGTGTTCTGTTTTATTTTGGGGTAAGGGAGTAAAGAAGGGTACTGGATAAAAAGCGTTTGGTTTCTGCAGACATACAATATAGAACACCCGCTACATACGATATATACTGTTTGTATGCTAAGTATAATTATAGTAAATGTTGCAAAAAATCCATTCTTCACTTACTCACAACTTTCTAAAAATGAGGCAGTTATGCTGAAAAATGGAGAAAAACAAGAAAAGAAAAGAAAAGAAAAGAAAACAAGAAAAAATGGTTGTCATCTCTTCCAAACTTGCTTCATTGTACCTACGTGGGGGCAGTGTGTGTGTGTCACAACCAAGTATAATTCTCCCACTGTAAATTTGCCCCACACCCCCAGCACTGCTAGCGTATTTCAGGAACGTTTTCAATTTTCAAAGAAATGTTTGAAATGAGATGAACATTTTTTTTTTCTATTTCTCACTTTTTTTAAGTCTTCCCCTCCACCACTTTTTTTTTTCCCAACAGAAAATATATTTTTTAAAGTCTTATACTAAAGTGCCTCCCACATTCTAGGTACTGGAAGAGTTTCAGAATTAGCGGTAGTACTACTTACCATATGAACCTCAATGCCTAGACATAGGCCACTGGGTTATACACAGAATAACCAACTTCGTTCTGAATTTCCCGGTGTATTGGCTTGTGACACAAACCAGTAACACACTATGTGCACAAGTTTGAGAAATGTTAATCATAATAGAAGCCACTTTATTAGGAAGTCAATGCTTTATTCCTTATAGTAGTATTTCCTAAACAAGGCAAGAGCTCAAGGTCTGAATGTTTAGATTTGACTGAGCAAAACCATCAGTGGTTTCAGAAAATGAAATCCATGAGGCTCAGCATCTCTAAGTGTAAGGATTTTAAAAACCAATGGCCCATGAAGTGACTGATTTATTGCATCAGTGGTTTTTACAGAAGATAAAGCTGCAAGATTATACAATGTGCTGTGTATATGTTCTCAAATCAAAGGCTAAGGGCTTGTCTACTCGGGGAGTTATTCATTATTAACTCTCTGTATGGACACTCTAATGGTGAAATTAAATCCCTTATTCCAAATTATCTTAATCCACTTTGGAAGTGGTTTAAAATAAATTATAATGATGTACTCTTATTTGGTAATAAGAGCATCCATACAGGGAGTTAATCAGAGACGGCTGATCCACTTTACAGTAACACCCTATTTTATGCCAGATTATACATGTAGAAAAGCCCCAAATCATATATATGATGTTGCTAATCACAGCTGCCAGTTCTGCATACACAGTCACTTTAATGCATGTTTAATTTATGTCTAAACCCTTTGGGATATCTTGAGTTAGAAAGATGGATTATACAACCATATAGTACTCTATCCCGTCTATAAAATCTATATGTTAGAGATAGGATGGGCGACATTTATTAGGTCCTCTATTCAGCATCCATCTAGCCAAGACAAGATTTACTTCATAGCATATGATCAACTGTTTTGTGACCCAAAGCATACATCTTCCACCGTTTCCCTTGAGAGACTATTCCAGTCTAAAAGATCTGTGTGTCTCCTGATATTTAGTCTAACTTTCCCTTGGCTGAGTTTCATTCCTATATGAAAAGATGGATATAAATGGTTTATTTGCTAGCTCTTGGCACAATTGCATATGGAAAAAGCTGGGTTTGAGTTGAGAGACTAGATTTAGGAGGTCAGACTAGATGATCTAACAGTGCTTTCTGGCTTTAAAATCTAATACATGAACCTAGGACTTTTGCTTTCAAGTAGATCAATTTCAGGGAATTGTACTTGAGGAATGAATTTTGATCTTCAAGAATCCCTTTATTCTGCCTTCTGGCTGCTGTCCTTACACCTAAATGCTCGCAGATATGGGTTTATGACACACATTCATATCTGGATTTAGAATACCCCATAGTTTGGGCCTGTTCAGATTTGGGTTTTGGGTCTGTAGCAACAAGTGATGGTGGATCTGGAGATGGTCGCAATGAACTGGGAAGGGGTGGGAGGCTGAACATAACAATGAGGGCAATATTACGCATACCTGAGAAACCAAGAATAGGGGGGGTGGTTTCTCCATAATCCAGGCCCCAATCCTTCAATGAGCCCCCTGAGAGTCCTCTCAAGAGGAGCTCATTGCAGGTGCAGGGCCCAAGCGTCCAACATAATGGCTCATCTGTGTAATTTCCCTCTTAGGACACATTAACACAAATCAGCAGCTACTTCATTAAGATGTGTCTTACTGTGATTTTAATAGAAGATTGAAAAATAATAAGGGACAAAAGGTGATTGTGTACATGTCAACCTAGAATCTAGTGAAGAAAAAAAAAGTTAAAAGTAGTTTCAGGTACTATACGTGCCCCTCCACTTCCCTGTCAACTATTGTGGTTTTTACAAACATGTGGTGTTCTTTTTTTAAAAAAAAAATCCTTTTTCTGTCACCACTTTCTGGAGTAGGACCCACACAAACAGGGGGATGCTATCTGGGGTCCCAGCTCAGTAAAGTATTTAAATATGCTTAGATTTAAACATATGAGTAATCTCATTGACTTCAGCATGGTTACCCCCAAGCTTAAGGTTGGGCATATGCTTAACTTTCTTGCTGAACTGGATCCTAAAAATGTGTGGTAGTGTTCTGATCTCAACTACACAGCGATGAATTGGAGTAACTCCACTGAAGTCAACATTTACTCCAAATTTGAACCTCAGTATCTCTGACCAGAATGTAGCCTATAGTACCTTATAAGTAGGCAAAATATTCCGATTTACTGGTGATCCAAGGTTTTGGATTTCCATCCAACGGAATGAATATTCTGGTCAGAATTATGACTACAGAAAATGAAGAACTTGGAAATATGTAAGTGATTTCTGGGGGGGGGACAAAAAAAATTGTAAAGGTGTTGATATTATTGAAAATGGGTTCTCTCTCTCCAGTGGCCAGTTAAGTGGGGACGGTTCTGTACGTGTGCAAAGTCAGACTTCTCAAGGTCTGGAGAATGTCTTGTGTTTTGCAAGTCTTTAACTTTCTGCGTCTGCAGAAACTCTCACCCATGACTCTTTCATGAAAATGATGTGCCATTTAAAATATTTTCAAGAGAAGGAAAGCCAGTGTCTTCACCTCTAACTCTTTCAGTATTAACGATCCCTTAAAGTTTAATCCAAAATGAGTTGTATAGTCTCTTGAGGTCTTTTTTTTTTCCCTCACAAAGCAAAATTGAATGGAATGATAGTTACAGCTCCAGTCAGACCTTAAACTTGGAGCAGGTCATTTCTGTCTTTTGCATACACTCTCTTGTCAACCATGTCAAACTTTCATCATGTTTTACTATGCTGGGCCAAATCTTGAAGTTCTTCCTTAGGCAAATTACCATCATGTGTGATGGCAGGTTGCCTGAGTGAGGATTACTGGATTTGGCATATAATGAGTAGGCTATTTATTCCTGAGCTCAAGCATCCTGATGGCAACCCTGCCTTATGTTTTGTAAAATCAGAGGACTAGCTGATGGTGCTAGTTTGAGTAAATTATCGCCAGCCACAGATTGGCTGAGAGTTAAAAGAGGTGTAATAAAGGAACCTCTTGACTGAAAAGGAGTTTGTGTCCTATGCCCCAATAAATATTCAAGTTGTTAAATAAAATTAAATAAATATCTTTCCTAGTCTTTTTAATATGTTCTGGGGATTTTTCTTCCTCTTAGTTTCCTTTTCTCTTTTTATTTATTTTCTTTCTAACATAAACATATTTAGCTCTGTTTGCACGAGATTCTCAATGCTCTTCAAAAAGATGCATATTTGTGACCTTAAGAGCTTCTCAATGTCCACTGGCAGGGGGCCCACTATACGATAATTCCTATCAGGCCTGACACACACTCACTGCCCCCAATACACTGTTGTCATAATATGTATCTAAAAGGTGTCATGGAAGGTATTATATGTAAACTGGTGACACAGTGGCCCCAAAAAACTTTGAGTCATGTATGTACAAGTTGGGTACACAGAGTTATATATGTGTGCTGGAAATATGTTCTTAAAATGTGTTTGGGAGGCAGTGAATACATTGAATCTGCCCTAGACAAAGGAATGTGGAGTTCCCTTTCTGACTGGGTTGATTACAGGTACAGGACAGTGAAAGTACATTTACATATAAGGTAAACAAAACAAACAAGCTAACAAGTGGCAGCTGTGGGCATGCTGGAGGAGTCTGCACCCCAAGAATCTTTCCTGGCTCTTGAGCCAAAGACATTTGATTTTGGGTAATATAAGGGGAGCAAAAAGACAATGTATTTATCTGTCACTTAGGGCAGTGATTCTCAACCAGGGGTATGAGTACCCCGGGGCTATGCAGTGGTCTTCCAAAGGGTACATCAACTCATCCATGGTCACAAAGGGAGACTGGCTGAGCCAGGAATTGAATCCAGGTCTCTTTAAGTACCAGTATCCTGTGATCAGTTTGGACTATGTGGCTTTTGTCTGGTGTCAAGGGACATAGATTTCAAGAAAAATAAGGAAAAGTATTTTAAAAAATTACTAAAAAATGATTGAGATTTTTGTCCATTTTGGGGTTATTGATGGGTGTCCATTAATTTTTTCATGGGACTTTTCCTGTGATTTGGAGTTTTATAAGATGACTTGCTTGAAGTTGTTTGCACTGTGATTGCTGTATAAGAAAAATGGATTAGTTGAGAGAATAATTTTAGGACTGTCTGTGTTCACTCCCTCTTTCTCTTACATAATAAACACATTCAGCCTTCCTCATCTCTGTATAGATTTGAGAGATACATCATTAGACTGTTACAGTACAAACTGCTCCTATAACGTCACTCCCAGAGAAGGGTGTCCTTGTGCAATTCAATAATAATGCCAATGAAGACATAGGAGCATAATGGTGTAAAATCAGTGTAAGTGGGAGGAGACCCAGTATATTCATTTGATGCTTTTTAGTTTAATTCATTCAAAAATATACTTAGTTAAACTCTAACAAATATCTCTCACTAGTGTGACTCCATGTCTCAGTATGGGCCTGAGAGAAAGCCCATCGATTTCAGTGGGCTTTGGAATTGGTTCATCTTGGCAATTCAGACCTATCTGCCTTCAAAACTCAAAGAGACAAGGTGGGTGCGGTAATATCTTTTATTGGACCAACTTCTGTTAGTGAAAGAGACAAGCTTTCAAGCTCTACAGAGCTCTCCGGTCTCGGTGAAGAAGAGCTCTGTGGATCTCAAAAGCGTGTATCTTTCATTAACAGAAATTGGTCCAATGAAAGATATTACTACACCCACCCATTACTGCACCAAATATCCTGGGACCAACAGCTACACAATATTTGAAAATCAAGATATAATAATGCAGAGAGACCAAGCTTATTTTGATGCATCATTGTTTTCATCCTCCACCTTCTTCCCACATCTAAATAAAATAAAAATAATTTTAGGTGGATGACTAATCTCCTTAAATGAGAGAGGTGGTGACAAGACTGAAGTTTAGACTGTTTTGCAGGATGGCCCCTGGGGCTGTTGCTGAAGGCACATAGTACTAATGCATGAATAACAAGGAAAGAATGTGCCATTGGTTCAAATAAGTCTTTAAGGGCTATTATCTTTGCTTTTCATCTTTGGAAGGGCATGCGTCTTCAGATTCAAGAAAGGAAAAACAGTAACAAAAGCCTTGTAGTTCACATAGGGGATCTGACTGCTAAATTTGTGTTTGGAAATACTCTATGGGGTGTTTAAACAATTATCTGCTTCCATCCTACCAAACGTAGTAGGTCTTCACTAGCAACATTCACTAGCAATGTTAAAGCGCTGCCCTGGCAACACTTTAACATGGCTGTGTAGTCGCGACACCAGTGCTATAAAAAAACCACCTCCACGAGGGGAGTAGCTCCCAGCACTGGGAGCGTGGCTCCCAGCACTGGTGCACTGTCTACACTGCCACTTTACAGTGCTGAAACTTTCAGTGCTTGGGGTGGGGTGTGTTTTTTCACACCCCCGAGCAAGAAAGTTGCAGCACTGTAAAGTGGCAGTGTAGACAAGGCCTTAATCTAACAGTGAAAGGATAACAATGGAGATGGTGCACAAAAAGATTAAAAATCCTCCTTTGTTCAAGTGACAAAGGTGAGTGACAGCATTTAGTAGCTGTGCTCTGTCATGAGCTACTGTACCAACAAGTTGGCTCAACCTGTGTTTCTTTCCTGCACTCCATCAGCCAAACATGGTCAGTGTTTTTTTTACAGGAGAACATGTACAGTAGGCTGTGACTGTGGACACCTTCCTCCCCATGGACTAACCCAGAAGGCAGTTTTGCTATAACTCTGTTTCCTTCCCTGTGCTTTTTGGCAGATGTACTTACATACACGATCTTCGCACCATGCTTTGAAGTTCACTTTTAATGCTGTTCCCTGTACATCCAAATGCTGGCAACTGTACTCCTTAGCTCAAAGGAAGGTGCTGCCCTTGGTAGAACTACTAGGAAGATTTTAAAAATAACCCTCGCTTTCATCATGGCAGATTCCAAAGGGACATGGCCTCCTTGCAGATAGGATTTCTTGGTTACAATGGTCTAACTTTAGGTTACCAGAAACAGTTTAGTCAGCTCACTATCTTACTGCTGAAGTGAAGAAAGCCTCTGTGTGTTCTCCAGTTGCTTTAGATTGAGGATCCGTGCTTTATTTTAAGATGCATTTTGGTGCCTTGCAAAAATACTGATGTAAACCAGCCTACAAATTTGCCTTTCAGATTTTACTGATCCGTTTTTTAAAAAGTAACTTGCTCTGGGCTTGTATAATTTTACAATGATTGAGTAAGCTACTTTCCTTGTTTCAGTGTTGGTGGAATCTGCAGTAAATTGTATCACTGTTGGTTTTGTTCAGAGAGCAATATATAAACACAGACAATAGTAAGAATGGACTTATTGGGGGTGTTTCTCTTTTTCTTGTCTGTTCAGCTGAAGTGTTATCACAAAAAATATCGATCGGCCACCCGTGATGTCGTTTTCCGCCTGCAGTTTCACACAGGTGCCGTTCAGGGCTATGGTCTGGTATTTGGCAAAGAGGACTTGGACAATGCTAACAAAGGTAGGCTTCCTTCTGTGGGGGGTGTAGAGGGGTGGGGAGGGGATTCATGATTGTGTATACCGGGATATATGTGTGTGTGTGTGTGTGTGTGTGTCTGTTAATGTGTGTTTGTGTTCAAAGTCAGTGTCTTCAACAATGCCTAGTGATATCAGATGCCTCCATTTTGGAAGCTTAATTGGACATTCTACCGGTGCTCATTCAATAGGAAGAAAGGTGTATTCTTAGCTTGTGTGTAGGTGATCAGCACTTCCTGAAAACCAGACCTCTGTATATCCAAAAATTCAGGAACAAAATCACTAGGCACTTTTAAAAATCCTGGCCTAGGTATCATACTGCTGCTTCCCAAAGTATTACTTTTGTTTTTTGTGTGTGTGTCTGTGTGTATGTGTGTATGTCTGTGTATCTATCTATCTATCTATCTATCTATCTAACTATCTATCTATCTATCTATCCTTGTTTAGTGGTCAGGATTCTTGTTTTGCTGTTTTTTTTTTTTTTTTTTTTTTTTTTTTTTTATCCACTTCAAATAAAGCACTATTTCTTGGGTTGTTTTTTTTTTGGCTGGTTTTTTGAGGGTTTTTTGTTTTGTTTCTTTTCTGTGTTCTTGACTGGGAAGTAAACCAAACTCTGACTTCCGCTTTTGTAGTCTTTTACTGAGAATGTGGGGGGAGGGGGGAACCTTGCTGTTTTAGAAGGCAGTTGGAGAAAGAGCAAATACACACATTATATTTATTCTACTGTAAAATCTTGATTTGTGAATGCTTAGCTACTATTCCCTGGGAAATAAACTTGCTGAGATATTTTGTTGTGTTTTCAGATGACCGCTTCCCTGATTATGGGAAAATTGAATTGGTTTTTTCAGGAACCCCAGAGAAAATCCAAGGTAAGCATTCAATATATAGAATGATCTCTGTTTATTTTGGAAGCTGACAGAATTTAAGTGCAGATAGAAAATTAAATTTCATCCCAGAAGGCTGTAGTGCAGAAAGTGTGGAATGTAGAGTACCTTGGAATATAAGAACTTACTAAAATTATTCTGAATTTACACTAGTGTAACTGTGATCAGAATTCGATTACAAAAATATATTGGAGTGGTTGCTGATAACTATTAGAAAACATATAACATATATAGTATCTACAGATAGCTATGGCATACATAGCATACATAGATTAAGTGATCACAATGTTCTAAAATCACATACTGCCAAGTATTTAAAATAACACTATTTGAAGAAAAATAATTCCTTCAAAAACCTAATCTAAGCAGTGGTCTATATAAAATGCTACGGGTATTATTCATTGTTTTCCCAGGTGCCATACATGAACTCATTTAAACAAGTGACAAACTTTGGACCAATTTCAGACCTGTAACCAAATAGAACTTCATTGTCAGTAGAGCTGCTTGTGTTTATACCAGGTCTGAAGTTGGCTCACAAGTTATACCCTGTCTCACTCTCACTCATGCCCGTCACCCCAGTCGGGGTATGGGCCGCCAACCACAGATCTCCAGAGTCCTTTATCTTGGGCCATTTGCCTGGTTGCAAGAAGGGTAATCGGCTTAGTGGCTTCCTCACGACTTTCACCACCCAGCGTCATGCGTCTTCGAGTTGAAGACCCTTCTTTTTCCAGAGTAAAAGTCTCTGTTATCTCTATTGTTGGCGTTTCTGTAGCAGGTTGATTTTTTACGGGGTGGAGTGCTAGCCCCACGCCTAACCCTCCTCCTTTATCCTGACTTGGGACAGGCAGATGGCCCCAAAGGACCTCTCTGGTGGAGTTATTATACCCTGTACTCGTCCTCAAATATATTATAATCTAGGATTGTGTCTATAATAATATGGAACTTCCCATATCCAAGATGAAAAAATTATATCATAGAGTTTGTGAGCAATTTACTACTACTATGCATTTATTGCTTTTCCAAAGGTAAATATTGATTCTGCCTGAGATGATGAAAAAGAGTTTTTCAAAATATAGTTCTTTCCATGTGCCATAAATAATCTTTTCTGTAGTGTTACATATACTGTGTCCTGGAAATCTTTCCCTTGCATTTTTCACCAGTCTAATTGCTTGGAGACTAGTAGTAGTAGCAGCCAATAAAAAGCTGGCTTCTATCCAGTCCAGCGAATGGTTCTGCTTTTGCCTGCTGACAATCCTTATAAGAAAATTCAATTTAATAGCTTCTCAAGCTTAATCTATGCTTTTCCTGGATGGTAAAGATCCTGGTTTGCGTGAAGAGTAGCCAGTCTGTCAGTCTGAAAAAGGATCAAAATCTGTTCATTATTACTTCTGTTTTTCTGGTATCCTAGAAGATGAATCAGATTTGTATTTTCAGCAGGTGCTCGGAGTTAGAACTTATTTCATAGCTGAGTTATCTTAGTGCAAAAAGGGATAGAGAAAAAGTCTCACTGCTCCATTTTTGAAGAGACTCTAATTTTACAGTTTCTCAGTATTTGAGAAATTATTTTAAAAATGGAAAATTCCAGCCCTTCATACAGTTTAATAGTAGAAGGCCCACTTCTCAAACTCAGATGGCAAACATTAGAAACCTAAATCTGCATGTGGGCACCTAAATATCTCTGTAGGCACCTAAAGCCCCAGTCCTGTGTTGTGAGAGCGTGGCTGGACTGTGGCACTCAACACAGAGCCCGGCTGTTGTGCCCTCAGGATCAGGACCTAAATCAGTACTTACTTGTCTATAAATAGTTACTTCGGTGCCTAAATGCAGACTTTTAGTCTCCTCACTTTAGGTACTTATGTTTGAAAAGTGGGCCTAATAATACCACTTAAATAACACTTTGCATCTGTAAAACATTTTACAAATATTAATTAAATGCCCCTTAGAACGCCATTGTAGGGTAGGTACATAAGGATTGTTCTCCCCTATTCCAGGTGGGAAACTGAGGTAGCAAGTTGCTTATTGTCACAGATTAAGTCAGCATCAGAGCCCAGATTGAAGTCAGGAGTTTTTGATGCTCCTGTCTTGTGCTCATGACACGGGACCACAGCTAAATCCCTCATTGCTATAGTTTCAAATGTATAGATTACATGTTAAGGGTGAAACAAATGTGTGAGTTAACTCCTTGGTTACTGCTGAAAATTCCATGTATGTCTGGCAGGGGACACTTTCTGTGAGGCCAAATCTTTCATTTCACTGACTTCAGTGTAATGTTAGTGTGTGGGAACAGCAGCATATCTGCTACCCTGGAGAAAAAACAGCCAAAAGTTTAAGATTGAGAAGTCAACTTTGCCTTTGAGCTGTTGCCTTGTTTTCATTGCAGCACTGGTGTCATTTACACACACTGTTTGTATTTAATAAAACTACCAAATAAACTTTCTCTGATATCAGAATGATAGTGACCCCAACAATAAACATGACCTTACATCATTTCTTCTTTGTGCAGTAGTTGAACTGCTAACTGACAATGGAGATGCTTGTGGTATCATTCTGAGACGTCATTTCAGCTTTGGTCGTACATGGCTACAGAACATTGCATACCCTCTCATTCAGGAGGGTGAGGTGTGTGTGGATGTGCTATTAAGGCAGGGCTACTCTGTAGTCAGAGGCTCCAGTTAAACTCTCTGTTTATTCCTACTGTATTGAAACATTAATATAATCTTAGTTTCCATAGTCCATTTCAGTGTGGCTGTTGATCTGTCTTTCCCTGTCATTTCTTCCCACACTTCTGAAGATGGGGTTAATGCATTCACTGAAGCAGCACATTGTCAGAGATGGGTGTATGTGTAGATACAGATGAAAGCAGGAGTACTCCTCCACTTTGTCTCTGACCAAGACTTTACCCTTTCAGGATGTGAACACCTGAAGAATGACCATGGAGTGATAGTTGACTACAATACCTCAGATCCACTAATCCGCTGGGATTCCTATGAAAACATGAGCCCTGATGGTGAAGGTGAGGAGAGCAAGCTTGTCCCCAGGGTTCTATCACAACAGACCAAGATTAAATTGTTAGCAACTATAAAATACTTACTGGGATGGGAGGAAGTAGAGCTCCCTTACATGAACCAGTGCAATTCTACCATTGTGGGAGTTGTTGATTGTTATGTCCCTCTCTATCTAGCCACAGTGGCAGCGTGGCTGTAGGGGGAAGAAAGATCTAATGGTTATAGAAATGGTTAGGATTCTTGCTTTGTGAGGAGAAGCACATTTGGGTGTGAGAGAGCTGGTTGGTGTGAATTAGATGGTGGGTAGATGTGGTCTAGAAAGTGTTTTTTTTATTAATTGTTGTGTAGCAGCACTACTCACCTGGTAGGCTTGGGGGTGGCAGGGTTGCTGCTGACTCAGTTTCCCTCTCTTGGACTCCCTAACACTTTCAACATAGGCTTTCATGTGTTGAAAAACACCCCTTCTTGGGGTCAAAGTTCACAAGGAATCACACAAACTCCCACCCAGCCTTCAAGCTGGCCTACAACTCTTGGTACAACTCTGAGGACTTGTCTACACTACCCGCCAGATCGGCAGGCAGCGATCGATCCAGCGGGCATCAATTTATCACGTCTATATACTAGTATAGTCGCGATAAATCGACCGCTGAGCGCTCTCCTGTGGACTCCAGTACTCCACCAGAATGAGAAGCGCAAGCGGAGTCGACGGGAGAGCATCAGCTGTCGACTTACCACAGTGAAGACACCGCGGTAAGTAGATCTAAGTATGTCGACTTCAGCTACACTATTCATGTCGCTGAAATTGCGTATCTTAGATTGACCCCGTATGGTAGTGTAGACAAGCCCCTTAGTCCTGTCCCTGCTGAAGCTTTCCTCTAGCAGACTTGATCTCCACACCCCAGCTTTCCTAGCTGGCTCCTGCTCCCTGTAGGCTTTTGGTTTTATTGCCATCCCAAAAGGCCTGATTTAGCCACATGACCTGCCTGTCATGTGAAAGTGCACATTTTTTCACAATCTGAGTGTGTCACAAGTGGATCCATCTCCCCTTAAAAGGCCAATCATCCTTTTACAAATAGTTTTGCCACTTTCAATCTCAATATATACCTATAGTCACTACATCTTGTGGCAAATTCACAGATTTCAGTTAAAGCACTAATGCTACATTGCCTGGAACTTTGCAGAAGATATGCAAGACTATAAAGTAAGGGGTGCCCAAGTCAATGGAATACAGACAGGCATTTTCCTTGATACAATTATATGTCTTTAAATTGCCAGTGACCCTCTATTCCATAAGTTATCCTTTCTTCCTATTGGTATTTACAGTGCAGTATGGTCTGGGTGAAAGTAGTGTAAAAGCAGCCATCATGATCTCGTTCCCGTTTGCATGGTTCCTTGACTTTGCCTCAGTACATAGCAAAAGAAGTAATTGTTCTTGATTTGTGTATTTCTCATGTGAAAGCTCAGAATGTCACACCTGCGTGCACACACACACAAGCCTGACTCTGTTGCAAGTAAAAACATGAGGGGAGCAGATAAGGCCTGAACGAATGCCAACATTTCTGTTTTCACAAAGCTCCCTGAAGAAACAAGGAAGGAGTAAAGCTAGAGCACTATCAGCCAGGATCTGATTCAGCTTGCATCTTTTTTTAATCCTTAAGAATCAGTATTGAGTATAGATTGAGAGAAGCCTTTGTGTGTGTGTGTGTGGGGGGGTAAGAGTAATGGGGGTATACAAGAAACTTCAGTTTTCTATACCACGACACAGTTGCACAATGGCACCTCATGATAGTAAGAACTGTTGACTGCGGCTCTCCCATGGGGAACAAGGCAGCAAAAAGGTTGAAAGGCTGAAGCAAGGCCATCGCCTCCCCCTCTCCTCAGCATGGTTCCACCAAGCAGGGTGAGTGGAGGCACTGCAGGCAGCCATCTGCTCCGAGAATGGATGGCGCTCACCGTGTGCGTACATGCACGCGCATACTCCACTCATGTGCAAGGAGCAGCATCAGAAAAGATTGTGCTTTACCTGAGGCAAAATCTCCTCCTTGGTGGTCCAGCACTGTGCTGCTCCCTACATTGGGCCATAGTATAAATGCCTTGACCTAGCCCCAAGCAAGCAGTTGAACTGATTCTGTAAATGACTTTCAGTGTTGCGATCAATGAATGAAAACTCATGCATTCCATTATACTGCAAGAGATACCTATACAGGAAGTTACAGAAAAGCAAAGAAATGACTGTGCAGCCAGAACATTGGAGGGGAAGTAGTTCGGATGTAAAGTATATGATACTCATGTCTATATAAGCCTTGTGGGTGGGATATGATCAAGTGGAATAGAATCTGACGTCATGTTATTTGCTGCTGTTAGAAATGCCTTCCACTACTGAATATATTTAGCGTGTAATCGGCTCTATGAGCTAAGATCAAGTGTACTTTAAAAGACTTAGGGAGAGTTCTGCTTTTGTGACAGCAGCTTTCTTTAAAGTCTCTTACATCTGATGTTGTTACAGGTAGCTTTCTTCAGCTAAATTCTTCAGTTCCAATTCAGACTTTTTAGGGCATGGGCTTTTGCCTGCACACATAATTCCCGTTGAAATCAACAGGAGCAATATACGTGGCTAGAGGGCAGTAGATGACCTATATATAGTATGCACTCTAACGCCTCCTCGCTTTTTTGTGCATATTAAGAACTGGGGGGTAATGAATTATGATATCAAACCTGCATGACCATTCACAGATACCGCAAGCTTTGTGAAACTGACAGACTTTGTAACTTTTCAGGTTGCTTTTTTAAAAAAAAAATGATTAATTTGAGATTGAAAGAGACCTGTTTTGTTCTTGTTGACACTTTATGCACAGAGGGATTGCACTCCATAGCACTGTGAATGGCTATCCAACTACAGAAGCAGTTTCTCCTCCCTTGGTGTTCACACCTCAACTGCTAGCAGAGCACCTCACCCTCCCTGATTGAACTAACCTCGTTATCTCCATACTGATTTATACCTGCCTCTGGAAATTTCCATTACTTGCGTCTGATGAAGTGGGCATTCACCCACGAAAGCTTATCTCCAATACTTCTGTTAGTCTTAAAGGTACCACAGGACCTTCTGTTGCTTTTTACAGATTCAGACTAACACGGCTACCCCTCTGATAGGGAAACTAAAGTTCAGCGTTTCATTTTAATCGTGGAAAAACACATTTTTATGGTTTTTTTAATCAGAGAATTTTCGGGGGGTTATAACAGAAACCTAGGAGCCCTGGTGATTAGTGGAGCAGTGTTTACATATGTCTAGAATGGGAGGAGTCTGCAGACAGCTAGTCCCCCATGGCTGTAGTTCCCTTTCTTTTCTCCTTAAAGGTCTAGAATTTTCAGGTAGTTGGGGAAGGAAGAAGTGATTGAAAAACATTTGAATTTCTTCATCTAGACACTTATTTCTCTTAAGAGCCCTTGATGAGCAAATTTGTATGCTAGACCATGTTAATAACTTCCTCCATAATGGATATACAACTTTAGAAACAACTTCCTTGTCCCTGATTTTGAGTCAGTATCACATTCCCTCATAACTGGGCGGTACCTTTCCTTGGAGTCTTCTACTATAATGGTTCAAAATATGTGACTGAGAACAGTATTTTGGACTGCAATGATAGAATTCTCGAAGTTGTTTGTGCTGACGTTAGACTGGTAGAGATGGTATCATCTACTGTAAGTTCCTCATTTTGTTCCTGTGGTCTCTACAGGGTTGGGTGTTTATCTTTTCAAACCACGTTTGTTAGAGGAGGAAGGGACCAGCAATGATGATATTGTTAATCATTGTTGCTGTTTTTCAGTTTGAGGACAGCAGCATAGTACAGTAGAGATACTGTTTGTAGATAGCAGCGAGATGACCAAAATTTACTCATTTCTGGAAAAGACAGCAAAATGTCTATAACAGCTTTGCCACTGTACATTGTATAATGCCCACCAGATTGTAGTGTATTCCATTACCTCTGTTATTTTAATGTTCCCACTCCAGGTGAGTACCATGGCAGTTCAGTAACTTACTCCTTCTCAGGCATCTTTTGCAGTTTACTTATCAGTGTTACCCTCATCCACATAAGAATTTCTCTTCTGATTCCTAAGACTTGTTAAACCCTCTTGTGTCTTCTCTCATGCTTAGATTACTCTTTAGGGAAAGGGACTGTTTTTATGCTGTGTTTAAACAGTGCATAACACAATGGGGCCTCAGTCCTGACTGGAGCTTGTAGATGCTACTATAATAGAAAATAATAATAACAAACCATGATTTGGGATTCCTGGACTATCACCCAGCTTTTTGCCCCTTGAGGCATGCTCTGCAGATTCTTTAGTTCTCCTCTGTCTCCACAACAGCTGTTCTTACCAAAGCAATTTGGGAAATGGTAAGTATTTTCAGCAAAAAAGCTAAAAAGAAATAAACTTTTCTTTCTTTCAAAAAAATTAATGGAAATTTGTCATGCTTTTGAAAAATATTAGCCTCCACTTTTTTCAGTTTTTCATCAAAAATCAGTGAGGAAAATCGTGTTATGAAAAAGGCCATTTTCCATTTTAAAAAAGTTTAGACAGATTATTTGATCAGCTATATTATTTAATGTTTCAACTCTTGATAGTATGCAGGATTATTATATGACACAATATGCATCAGTGCTAACCAGGAGCTTCCAACTTATGCACTGCAAGGAGCAAATGTTTCTCTTGCTAGTGAATGTAGATAACTCTGAGGACAGCCTGGCTGGCAGTTACATATTAGGGTTGTTCAGGAGTGTGCTTTAGTTTGAACAGAGTGACAATCATTCTTGGTTGTATGCTGAGATTGTTCCAGGGATAGAATCACTGCAACAAGTTGTGAATGATCATGTCTGTCATCCGAAGAAGACTGCATGATGCACAGCAAGAGTGCCCAGTACGCTTCCCGCACACACACTGTTTAGTTTAGTAGGCAGCAACGCTAGATAGAAAAAAACCATCATGCCCAGCATCAGAGATCATAATAATG